ACTACAAGGTTAACATTTAAATCCATATCGTGCTTTCCTTTAAGCCATCCTGAAGCCAAATGTCAGTGTGACGCTCCAGACAGTGCGTAAGTGTAGGAAACAGATTGCTGTGATATTTGCTGCCCATATTCATGCTACAGAATGGATTAACCCTTTAAACCATGCCACTGGTAAAGATGTAGTCTTGCTTTGTCAGACCATTCAGTATTACATAACGGTTTGGCTGCAGCACACGGCCATTCTGCTGTAAGTCAAAAAACACTCTGGCTTATTTGTATTTCTTTAAAACAATCACTGTCATTGTGGATGGGGCTTAGTAAAAAACACGGCTTCTGTGTTCACTCCTTAGTTGTGGTGGAACAGTTGCATGCAGGAAGACGAGGACTGTGATTAAAACGTATGATCCACCAAAATAAACTACTTTCAGCTTATTTTTAGTGTAATAGGTTGCTGCTAGGAGGTTGTTGTTTCCTGTGGCGAAGAAAACTGTACTACATAGATAGTGGAAGTGGGGAATAGAATGCAGATGACTGGTCAACAGCAGGTTTAAACCTGCAACCTTCATCCATGGAGTCAGACTAGTAAATGTGTAACATGCTGTCTCCACTGGCTGCATAGTTAAAGCAGCATCTGCAGTCCTGCATCAACATCATCAATATTAATGTGTCAAAATCGGGAACTTGGTCCAAAAGTTAATAATTAAAAAAAAAAAAAAATCCAACAAGTGCAGGTAACCAGTATAGAACTGTATCTCTTCTGCCAAATGTGCATGAGCCACTGACCTGAAAACCACAGCTGATATGTGTTTGGCATGGACAGGGTGTCACAAAAGAGTGAAAAAGTGTTTGGAGTTATTTCAGGTTCCCAGTAGGTAAGGCAAGGTCCTGGTGGATGTGAATCGTCATCAGTGCAATAAATGAAGAAATATCCAAGAGAAATTAGATTCTTTAATGAAAAAGTTGAAAGTAGATGTGCAGAAGGTAACTGTGCTTTTCACTTTCAAACATCTGACCACAAAGCTTGCACTTTGGTTGCACAGTCAACCTTATGAATAGGTATTGTAGGGTTTAGAGTATGTCGAAATGAGAAAATAAAGCAGATCGCTTCGAATCAAAGAAAAACATTTAAGTTTATTAGAGGTACAGTGTGGAAAGTACAATATATAAATGATCATTCTGGTTTAAAGGGATTGTATATGGGGCTTTGGGGTTCAGTCTGGTTGTTGCTCTGATGTTTAAGCTCATGCTGTTCACATAAACACAGCAGAACAATGTGAAAACCTTGTGAACCACCTGAACACTTTGATAGTACCTCAACAGACCAGTGTCACTGCAGTGTTGTCACCTTAACCTTAACACCCTAACACCTGAACAATCACAAGAGGTCGGTTTGAATTAAGTATTGTGTTGTGAAGTTTGTCACGAGTGATGATATATTTGTTAACCAATGAGGAACTAAGTAAGGAAATGTCCTAACTGGTTGCCCAAAGACGAGTGCATGTGTGTGTGTGTGTGTGTACACGACATGTATGGTAGCGGGAGGGGACCGTAGGAGAAGCAGAAAGCACCCAGAGGACGCTGCAAGGGGCGGATTGGCCCCCGCCGGGTCTGGGCCTCAGGACGGATGGATAGAGGGATTGTGTTGACAAGGGGGAAAGACAAAGAGGAGGAGGAGGACGAGAGGCAGCCACACATTCAGCAGGGAGGCTGAGAGCATCGGCCAGAAACTCATCAAACCAGTGGAAACACCTCCAACAGCCCAGCAACAGCAGGACACATGCACGTGTGTGTGTGTGTGTGTGTGTGTGTGTGTGTGTGTGTGTGTGTGTGTGTGTGTGTGTGTGTGTGTAAGCCAGCGGTGTGTGTGTGTGTGTGCGTGTATGTGAGCTTGGAAAAGTCAGGGATGTTTCTGGGTGATGGATGGGAGCATTGAGGGAGGCTTCGTTCAACCATTGTTCATTAGTAAAGTACACAACTATCCTGCCTAATTGCTCAGCCATAATGTCAGACGGCGATGAGTGATTACAAGCAGTGCTGACCTATTCATTACATCAGTGCTCAGGAAAACTTCACCTTCCCATCCCCAAAGGGACAAAGGAGGAGACAACACACTGTGTGCACATCCAAGCAGCAATGTTTTCATGCACAGCTATCAAAACACATTATATTCCCCAAAATATGAATAACATTCATATTCATATGAATAACTTTTGTCTTATAGCTTTGGTTTCTGACTCTGTATGACCAACCAAGAAGCAATTCAGACAGAGCAGAAATCCCCCTTCATGATTTTATAAAACTATACAGCTGTAGTCTCACTGAGCTGATAGCATAACTGTGGATTGGAAACTGAAGCTTCTTTTAGCACATAAGGTATATCAAAACATCACCTTTACAAACAAACATTACATTTTTGAATCTCAAAGCTCTAAGAAAGCAAATGTGTTGATATATAGCTCACACTGCAACACTTTCTTATGAAGAAGAGCAACTGGAAAAGAATAAAGTTAATGTCACCACTTCCACCTCTGTCTGCTGCTTTACAGAGTTTTCACATTTGAACATATGGTTGTTATAACATACATGTTAAAACTGTACATTCTGTTTTCCACTTACTTCAACCATAAATAATTAGTTGACTTGTTGAGTATTTTGAATTCTGTCAATTATTCAGTTTCTGGTAACGCTTTATATAACATCGTAATTACGTACCAGTACATAACAGCATGTACAGTTATGGAAAAATGGGGTAACAATTCAGCATCGTATAAAGCACTTGTAGTTATTACTAACTAATGGACAACTTTTTTGCTGTTACACAATTTAATGGTGAGGTGAACAACAGCTGAGACAGTCTGCAGAGGCCGATAGTCTCTGACAATACACTGCCCACTTTATTCCAAAGTAAAAGCACAGATGTACCCTGTAATTATCTTAAGATGCAGACTTTACGCAATGCATATTATGACAAGCTTTTAAATATAACACACAGTTACAGAAAAAACAGTGGTTTCTATTCTTTATCCTCTATCCTTTCCAAAAAAGTAGTGTGTTGTAGTTTCATGTTCCAGATAATCACATTTATATTACTATGTTACTGAAGCGTTTTGCTGGCTGCAGGCAACGTCCAACTTAAGTTTCATACATGTCTTACAAAAAGGTTTGACATGTATTTATATTCACACACAAAGCAACCATGTACATTTTTATTTCATTTCTTTCCATATCTTTGCAAAATCATGCAATAAAAATACACTTCATACAAAATCCTAGAATACTCGAATCACTTCTGCCTTGTGTCTTCACTCGTGTTCATACATTGATTCTCTTGTGAAGTTCTGTTATTTATGGTGACTTCAGCATTCAGTGACCTTTTAATATGCAGAGTACTCGTGTCTGATTGCATCACTGCTGTCACTCATGTCATATGACAGGATAAGTCAATTAAGTGTAATTTATGTAAAGTACAGTTTGCTTTACTCTGCATTTTGCGTGTGTGTGTGTGTGTGTGTGTGTGTGTGTGTGTGTGTGTGCACATGCTGATATTCATGCCTTGCCTTCACTCCTTCCTAACTATGACAAAGTAGGCCCGGTCCTGTCATGGATGCTGCCCTACTCCCACTGCCCAGGCATCTGCCTCCTCAGCCTCTGCCATCAGGACTGGATGGGGTTCAGATTGCCCAGGCCTCAGGGAGGGTTGGGCTGGTGGGGGACATCACTGAGAGGGCTTGGATTGGGCTTCAAATCTAGTCCTGGGGCCACTTTGGCTGAAGGAGAGGGAGGTTGGGAGGGCGCCATGCCCACATGGGTTATGATGGAGGTTAAGAAGGAGAAGGAGGAGGTGGAAGATGAAGACAAGGAGCTGAAACATCAGGCAAAATTGGGGGTGGGAGGGTGAGTCACGTTGGCGGCTACATGCTGCTATCAGTCTGCTTCCACACACACCAAAAAAAATCACACACACCTCCCACTCTGGCTCAGGGGGCAGCGGAGTGTCATCTGGGAGGGTGTATGGCTGTATGTAAAGGTGCACTGAGTGTGAATCTCAGATCACACGAAGGGAGGCAGAGATATCCCATGCGAAATTGACTCGTCTGATCTCATCTGTCAATCACTGGATCTTGTGATGTGTTGGTGGAGGGGAGGTGGTGCCGGCTGCACTCAGACTGTCACATCCAGCACAGCAGATCACAGTACATAAGCCCACTTAATCTGCTCACAACATAGTTAGACCATGGCAAAAAGTACAAATCCACAGGGTTTTCAGGTACACTGACCTCACACCTCACTGCAGGCTCTCTAGGCAGAGCAGTTATTATCAGTACTAAGCTGTCAAGTTCTTACACATAGCACAGCACTGGCTGCGTACACATGATGGCATTCTTTTTTTTAAATGCTCGTACACACAGATAGTACACCCAGCATAACAACAAACAAACACAAATGACAGGGAAATACCAGTTCTTGAAGGTTACAGTGTACACCGTGTAGTTACAACACCCATGAGCACGCCATGTACCACTCTCTTCCTGAAAGTAAAGATGCTTTCAAAAATAATGCATTGAAGAGTTGCTATTTATTAGTTAACTTTATAGAAAGTGGAGTAGTAAGAATGCAGGGACAGTTCTCCTCATTTCTAGGTGATTCACGTTTGAAGTGGGCTTGCAAAATTGCTTTATGGAAAGTGGCAAGCAGCTCGGTGGGAACATTAGGTTGGAAGCAGCAGGGAGGCTGGCGTTTCATTAGGGAGCTCTACTCCGCCTTTATTACCCGGATTTGGAGTTTTATGGTTATGATTATTTGCGATGGAATTATTATTCGCATATATCTGCTAGTCAGCTGTTTAGATTGGGGACACTTGGAGACAGTGTCTGTGTGACTGAATCCATGTGTGGGTTGTGAGGTGATCTGTACAAGGTTATTCATTTTTTCTTCTCCTCTGTGTGTGTGTGTGTGTGTGTGTGTGTGTGTGTGGGTGTGTGTGTGTGTGTGTGCGAAAGCTCAGGCTGTAGTCATGCTGTCGGCCCGTCGGTCGGCCTTGGCAGTTGCGGCCTCAGAGGTTTCTGTAGCTCGGCCGGAGCTGCTGGCATTGGCAAGGCAGCGCTGTGTGATCTCCGTCTGAAGTCTTGTCTGAGTCTCCTTCAGAAACTCATCCTGTTGATCACACAAGAACACAACCATTAATGTCTTGTCAGGCATAAGTATTAGCATAATGCCAAAAACCTGGGGAGTTGCCATTCATTCATTTGACATCTCTATGATAGAAAAAAAAATTAACAGGATTTGCTTTTGTTTGTTTTGATGACGAATGATAAAAACTCTTGATTGTTCTGTCTCCCTCTGCATAGTAAGATGAGCAATTGTTGTCCCCAACACTTGTTTTATTCCTTGTCTGTCAGGTTAGTCATCAATGTGTGCTGTGTAATTTAATCCCAACATTTATTTGACTTGAAGAAATCTTTAAATTTAGGAACCATTAATTCAACTTGTTAAATCCATATTAGTGTTGGTACTGATCTTAATAAGTGGACCAGGCCTCGGCCAATCATCATTGCAAAACTTATTGTTTAATTTAGTCATGCCAAGCTACTGACTGAGTTTTTGTGCCACAACAATCCCTAGCTTTCTACTATTTTACCTTACATTGGGGTATACAGATTTTAAAGGTGGGATAAACAGGCAACTCGGCTCCAACCATGTATTAGTATAACCAGATCCCCTGATTGCTATTTAAATCCCGATCCTGTGACTGGTTTTGTCAAAGCTCTTTAATAGGAAGACATCCTCTCCATGGTGGTGGCAATAGAGGAACATTAAGGACTAGCTACAACCGTTGCAGATCATTCTCTGGAGAGCATGACTATGGGCAAATGTCACAACAATCTGGTCAATTTAGTTGTTAAGATATTATGATGGTAATCTAAGTGTTGGACTGACACACACACATTGATGTGACAGCTACCAGGACTGTCCTTTTTAATTACATATTGTACATTAGATTTCACTTTATTTTTCACCACCAATGGGGAAACTCACTTGCTGCAGCAGTATAGATACAGGAAAGAGCACAAAAAAGTGACAGGAAAAAAAAAAGAGAACAAATAAAACTATAAATAGGAAGAGCTATACTTTCATGGTACGCACCTTCTCTCATCCTGCTCCTCTTTAGCAATTCTTATACATTGATAATTTTATGATCTACATTTTGAGTCTTTTTGCGTACTGGGAATACGCTTAAAGAGGTTTAGGTGGAAACCCATTTACTTACAGGTCTACAAATCCATATATGGGAAGAAGAAAAGAAGAGTTACTGTCAATGGAGAAAGAAACATATCAAATTGCTAAAAATTCAAGGATAGAGCAGTAGTCCTGGCTGGCTGCTGGTCACCACAATCACTAATACATTTTCCTGCCTCATAAATTATCGCCGTGACGATGGGTGTGATGCTGTCAGGAAAACCCAGCATCCCAAAACCCAACAGCAGCAGCAGCTTGAGACCGTTGCTCTCTGTCATCACTCACTGCTCTGTCTCTTTAAACGTGGAAACACAAAAATTGCTGGTTTAGCAAAGAGAAAGACCCCTGAATGGACCTGGGTGATTACCAAGTGTTACCATCACTGAAACAGCCACCATTCAAACAAACACTAAGAAACAAATTATCCTATGAATATGTTTTACTTACTGCTGAGGACAGAGCTGCAACAATCATTCAGTTGACAGAGAACTACGATCAGTTCATCGTGTTAAGCAACTTTTTGTTTTTTTTTTTTTTAAAGAAAACTGCTCAAATTCTCTGGTTCTTGGTTTCATGGTTGTTAACTAAATATCTTTGGATATTGGACTGTTTTATAAAACGAAAAAACTCCATATCCATCAACCCCCTCTACTTTTCTGTGTCCATGTAGCCACAAAAGTCCACAAGGGTACATGTGATATAAATGTCATTAGCGACCCATGTCTGGAAGGCTCCATGCAGACCCCTCTGTGGGTGTTCACGTGCTGCCCAGAATCTGTGACAGCTCAGACTGTCCACACTGCTGACTGCACATATGGCAGAAAAATGAGTAGTTCTTAAAACAAATATTTGTTATGAGGGGAGATTGTGAGAAGAATTTCTTCATCATCAGCACCTTTAAAATTTGTCATTAACAGAGTTGTTGCAGGAGTTGATACATGCTTTGATTTGTACATGCTCTCAATGTGCTGACCACAGTGGGAAGTTCTACATTCTCCAGAAGTTCTGTAAAAAGTTTAAAGTCACAGGCAGCCTTTCATAAACATCCACAGGAGCCCTGTGTATTATCCTGTGTTCCATGTGGGTTGCTAATTGGCCTTTCACTCTTTATATTAATTGAGGAAACAACAGACTGACTGATCAGTAGCAATGGGGCTGCAAGGTGGCTCGATGGTTAGCACTGTCGCCTTGCAGCAAGAAGGTCCCCAGTTCGCGTCCCGATGAGGACACCCGAGATCTTTCTGCGTGGAGTTTGCATGTTCTCCCCGTGCAGCGTGGGCTCTCTCCGGGTTCTCTGGCTTCCTCCAACAGTCCAGAAACATGTTGAGGTTAATTGGTGAGTCTAAATTGTCCGTAGGTGTGAATGTGAGTGTGCTTGGTTGTCTGTCTCTAAGTGTAGCCCTGTGATAGACTGGTTACTTGTCTAGGGTGTCCCCTGCCTTCACCCTGAGTCATCTGGGAAAGGTTCCAACCCCCTGCAACCCTAGTGAGGATTAAGTGGTGTATAGATATTGGATGGATGGATGGATCTCCAAGGCCACCACGGGCAGGAAAGCTCAAATTTTACTTCCCTGTAGCTGTAAGGGCCCATGTAATCCAACAAGTCACACCTGAAGACTGTACAATGCCTGGTAAAACTATAAAATGTCATTAAAAACATTATTTTTTTTTAAATAGGAGGAGGTGAGGGCTTCACTGGAGTCTTGCACAAATGCATTTTTGTGTCTATGCATCACCTGCAAAGCTTGACACTGGATCTGGCATGTTACACTGTCAATGATCAATTCTCAACCAGATCCACTAAAACAGCTAACAGTGGAGCTGGATGATCAGTTAATGAAAATAGCCACTAGTGTCACACCTACCAGTTTCAGCTTTGTTCTCTATTATAATTAGGCAAAGTAGCATTTTATATAACATTTGAAGGTTTTAAATCCTTAATATGTACATCTCTTGGGTAAATTCCCACCATAAATAACATACAGTGTCTGAACCTCAATATTTAAACTCACATTAATATCCTAATGTTGTATTACATTCCTTTCTAACTCGAAAGCACTTTAGTGCAGTGGCAGTTTTATGTTTTTTCTTTAATGTGCTATATAAATAACAATAAGGCATAAGGTCTGTGTACTTGTTTTATTTGAACTAAGAAACAGTCAGCAGTTTTTGAGGGTTCCAATCTTCATGCCTACATTTGACTAGTTCAGTTTTTTGAGATTTTTTTTGTCACTTTTTTTTATCAGGTGTGACACCGTCCAAGCGAAAGGTGAACCACTTTAGCAATAAACAGACAAACCCTTTCCTCAACTGAAACACAAACTTTCCACTTTCCAAGCTGCAGCCTGACTCCTGTGCTTCTTTTCTCCTCCCTCCCTCCTCTCTCTCTTCACCCCCTCCTCCCCACCCCCCCCAGTGGCGGCAGTCTGCAGCAGAGCAGTTAATAAAGAGATTGATTATCGGCCTGTCAGGAAGTGACAGTTGGACAGGGCTGCTCTGCGTGAATGACAGAGGGCACGCTCACCACGCAGCAGCCCGCCTGACACACAAACACACCCAGATGCCTTTGCCAACACATAGGGTAGGTGAGGTGGTGGAAGGGGAGAGGGATGTGTGTGTGTGTGTGTGTGTGTGTGGTGGGGGGGCTTGGCTGGCATGTGGGGAACAGAAATGCAACCTTCTGCTGGTAGAACAGGTTTGTCTCTGTGTGTGCATATGTATGTGTGTGTATATGTTGGTGGTGGGGGGTCAGAGTTCACAGCCACTGCCTTCTGGTGAGAGAGAAAGAGGGATGCCAACGACGCCGTACCCCAGAGCCAAAGAGGTCAGAGGAAGCTCAGGAACATACTTTCACCCTCATACACACACATTCACACACACACACACACGCACACACACACGGCCATGCTGCTGGGCATCTGTGAGCGTACTGTAGAAACACACGGGTAAACACCAGCAAGTGACCAGAGCATCTCAAACACATACACAGAAACCAAGCTGGACGAACAGTTGGATTTGTGTCTGTCCTCACCAAACCCCTGAGGATAGCTCTAAGCTGTCGGCTGTGTAGTGGTCACAGCTAAATCTGCCAATCGTGTGACATCCTGGGGCCAAAACCGAGAACGTGAAGGTCCATCTTACCCCTGGTTCATTTTGCCATCTTGTGAGGGCTGCAGGCTGTTCCGTGCACCTGCTGCTGTGGTTTGGCTGAAAAGTTGGTCAACTCAGATGGAGAAAGAGAAAGAACCCACATTGATCCTCACTGGCAAACATCTATACTTTATGAAACTAATCACAACAACATATAGCCATATAGCCAATGACTGGATCCCAGGCATACATTACACTCACATATCTGAACACTGTAAAAGTGTGAAACTTGTTTTAGTTTAACAGCTACAAATCCCTAGAAGCTCATGACAGATCAAACCCACTGCCTGTGACTCAGCCAGCCTGTCCTGTCCTGGACAAATGATAGTGGACTGGAGTGGTAAAAGTATTTTCTTGCATTTTCCCACTGGAGCACAGTGTTAAACATGTCCCCCGGCTGTTTCCACAGTCACCAGGGATTATTTTGGCTGTGCTCCGACACAAAACAACCACACAGTCAACATATAGCGAGCGGCTGTTGTAGCAGTGAGGAGCATATGTCATGTAATGAGACTGACAAGGTGAACACAAAGGAGCAAGCTGCCCTCCCCCTGGTGGAAGGAGCCCCAGGGTGCTTCAGCTCAAACAAACATATCTGACCACCGTAAAGCATTAGAGGTCAAAGGTTATGTCAGCTGTAAGATCTTTGTGTTGTATTTCATGCCTGATGTCAGGTGTTGTTATTGATTATCAAAGGATATGTCTGGTAGTATTATATACTCCTATACTATATATTATGCACTGGCTAGCATTTTACACAAGACCAT